TCAGTTTCCATATTACACAATCATACCACACAGCTACAACAAGAAGTATGCATATACTATTACCTTATATTAAATAATTAGTAAGTTGTTTTTTACTGAAATTTGTAGCTTTTCAATAGATCATAATTATACTTCATTATCAAGATATTTAATATAAGTGGATGTTTATTCTTTTGTTATGCTTTCATAATAAACTTTCATGGGTAGCATGTTTCAGGCAAATTTTACTGAATGATGAATGTGCTCATTTTGTATTTCTAAATATGAATATGCCTATTGTATACAAATAAAAACACCCACCTTAGTGTTATGACAAGTTTTTCTTCTGGAGAAATGCAGTCCCTCATTGTGGTGCTTGTTGAAGATATGTCATCCTGTATTTGTTGCGAGAACTTGCGTTAATGTTCTCATAACTTTGGATACAATGTGAAGAACATTTCATGGGTAAGTCTCTCATTGTCTCCTCTTCCGCCGCTGCATACGATGATATAAAACCCATGCACATGCCACCTCTTCTACATCCATTACTGGCTGTGTATGATCAGCGACTGAAGAGGGATAAAAAGAAATGCAAGTGGGGGAGAGACGAGTCACTCATTAGTCACGCTTCTAGCAGTTGGGCCACTAAAAATGCTTGTCTGAACAGGTTTTAAAACTAATTTTAGGTAATTAAGCAAATCTATGCGTCGCTGATACTAATACATTTCAATGGACTGTTTTTGATGTTGGTATTTGTTACCACGAGCAACACACCCTCCAGGTACCCAAAACCAAGGTTATCATGCAAACCCAAACCTAACCTTACCAACGTTCTATTTATTCCCCCAGGGTAAATTTTACACAATAGCGCGGCATAATGAATTGTGACTATTTTGTTACTGATGGATTCCTCTCACTTTTGTCTACCCAAATTTATGAAAAATATTGCATGGTGATATTCTTGGCCCCAATAGCAGGGGATGGCATGGAAAGCACAGGGAAAATTGCAGGGTAAAGTATGAACAATATACACAGAACCATTCACCATACTGTAATGCAAGGGTCTATACCCCTGTAACCCCCCCTCCCCCATGGGGTCTTAATATTATTCATGTTGTGCCCTGCAATTTCCGTGACCAGTAGGGCATGAAAGTTACAAGGGAAATTACAGGGTAAATTATGAATAATATACTGAGAATTGGTCAATATATAGTCAATTGCAGTGGGCTGCTACCCTTCAACCCCTACCCTGGACAATAAAGAATCCACTAAGAATGTACAGCAAGATAGAGTGTCCGACAGACTCAGCGTCGGATGCTCCTACATGTTGGTCATACACTCTACCCTGACAAAAATATGTGGAGGATTCCTTGTCTTCCATCGTGGGGTTGTGGGGGCTTTAGCTCCCCAGGAAGGGGTTTACAGGGAGCACAGGCCCCTGCATTAGACACTTTAATACCTGATATTGTGTATATTATTCATATTTTACCCCACAATTTCCCTGGTTCCTTGCATTCCCTCCCCTGCTATTGGGACCAAGATTGTTGTTAATGGTGGGGGGGGGGGTACACAGCATAATATTGATCAATTTAGATAGTAGAGAGTGAGAGGAATTCATAACTACCCAAATTGTCGTGACTGGTTATGCTAACGTATTCCAAAAAATTACCCTAATCTCATTATTAAAATTAATTTTATGGACTAAAACTACTGAAACTGGCCTGTATAGTTGTATCAGATATACTCCATTAATACCAGTTTCATTAGTATTAATGACTTATAGAGTTACCCATATTTGCATAAAGTAACACCACGATAGATATAGTTTAATCTGTTTAAATTGGTAATTATTTGATGTAGGATTGGATAAATCAACTTTAGTTTTACACCCCTCACTCTACCAGAGTCCATAAAACCTCCCCCACATTTATTCTGGAATATACAACTTTATTCCTCATTTGACAATCCATTTACTAGAGGGATCAACATGGTAATTTTCTCATGAATATACATGTTAGAGATTTGTTATGGCTTTATGTTTACTCTCTGCATGTTACTTTGAAAACCTAACCATATTTTATGTGTCCTTTTGGCCATTACCCAATGATTTTGTGCACATACTGCTGAAGATGATTTAAAACCTAACCATATTCTATGTGTCCATTTGGCCATTACCTAATGATTTATTAGTAGCTTTCCTAGAAGAGGATGATTTGTTTAAAATATTGATTAGATCTCTATTCTCATTGATAGTCTCTTGAATTCTGAGAACGATAGCTTTATGATTTAGTGCATATATTTCCTATTAATTTTGATTTTCTTACCAGTTGATATGAATACTTTTGTTACAATTGTATTATGTGGTAATCACAGCAACTTTTGGTTTCAGATAGCCAGTTGAATTCCGTATCAGAAACATGGATAAATTTGTTGTTCGCATGCCAAGAAATTCTCCATCTTCAAGTCCAAGAAAAGGTGGAGTGAGAAATTATAAACAGTCTACCATTGAATCACTGAAGGT